TTCAAAGACCCCATGGATTATCGATTGAGAAGACTAAATGATTTATATTTGTGGTTTCTTTCTTTGTTTAATGTTCACGTTGTTGGTTTTTAAAATGGAAAGTTGAGTGTGTATGGCGGGGAAGACATTAAATATTGGAAAGATTGAACAGAGAGAAAGTGGGATAAGTTTGGAATTCTGTGAAGGTGATGTCACCATAAGGGCTACTTTTCGGACAGTATCGACATCGAGTAGGATTAGATTGAAGACAGGAAGAGTTGTACTTTGATTGAAGAAAGACGTTGTACTTTGATTTGATACTCCACCCTCAGAGTCATGATGTCGGTTTAGATTCCAGAAATATAATAAATAATTTAAGAATACAATTCAACTGGGCATGTTTGGTATATTTTGTTTAAATATAGATATTCTGAAGAAAAAAAAAAAAAAAAATTTAAATATAGATATTTTTAAAAATATCTATTATTTTAACCTTTATTTTTTATTTTTTTATAATAACCTCTAATTTATTATTTAATTAAACACTCTTATAATAAAATTTATAAATTAACAAAACATTCTTATCTATCCAACTAATTGTCAACAGTCATCCATCACTGTCAAACAATGACTTACAATCATCAAAATAGTGCACGACCAACTGAATCTGGCTGGTCGTTGGTCATTCTAACGCCGACAACCGCGATGGCAACCATGTAAATTTTTATATGTAAGAAAAATTAAATAAATTATGCGGAAATATATGTCAAACATTTAGGAGGCGTTTAGTTGAGGGGTATTAAGATTACTGAAGTTAAGTCATCTTATATTACTTGATTACCATGTTTGTTGTCAAGTATATAATACCAGTAATCTTCAAATACCAATAGTGATTACTATTGGTATTTTGGAGGTAATCTGATTACCTCCATTTTCTTAGTTATTCAGATTATCAGGGTTATCTTTTTTTGTTACAATTTTATCCCTATTAATAAATTTTAGGATAATAATGCCCTTATTTTTAAATTTATTTACATGAATATAGCTTTTACTATTTATCCTCAATTAATTAACTTTTTGACAAATTACCTTGAATTCAAAATAAATTACAGCCCACCCAAGCCACCACCCAGCCAACTACCGCTGGTAACGACCGTTGCAGGAACGGTGTATAGAAGGCCGAAATGGCCGTCGTGCACCGATATGGCCCCAAATACTAGCCGTTGATGACCAGATCCATCATCGATCCGGCCAAAAATGGTCATACGATGCACGGAGGCCATTTCCTTCTTCCGTGCGCCGCTAGGTTACCGCTGCCGCGGTGGTTGCCGGCGGCTGGCGTGGCTGAGTTGGTGGGGTGCTTTGTTAATTTTCCAAATTTTATTATGGGGTTATTTTTGCTAAGTTTTAAAATGCAGAAGGGTTATATAATCCAAATAATAATCAATATTAAAAAATAATATATAATATTTAATTAGAGGACAATTCATTCATTTAAATACATACTCCCATTTATTCCTCCTAACCAAACATATTAATATAACATACCCATCAATTAACCAAACAATTTCCTAATTTTCCAGTAATCTTCAAGGTAATCTAACTTTCCAGTAATCCAATATTCTCATAAATCTAACATTCCCTAAACCAAACGCCTCCTTAAAGTTATCATATTTATTAAGGATGACAAAACAGTTGTTAACCCTCTTCAAAAACCTTGTAAAATGAACTATTTGACTTATGACCAAATGAAAAGACTGTAAGTTACCTAAAAGTCTTATGTTCAAATCACTAAAGTGGTCATTCATCTATTACATTTATTACTTACCTTACCCTTGGACTTGTAGTATTCAAGAAACCTCTAGATTAGTTGAGATGTTTAAACTGACCCAAATATCTAGGCTTGACATCTTGGTAACTCGATTACCAAAAAAATACGTGTAAATTCATAAAAAAAATCAATAACATGTGTCATAAAGAGAGTTAACCACTATGATGATACCGATTCCAGTAATATTTCATAGATAATTTGATATGATAAATTGATAATCATGAAATTGGATTCATTGTCTACATTAATTTATCTTTATTTTTAAGTTATTCGATTATATTAAAACTCATTAGTTTGTAAAAATGAAATGTCGTAAGAACTATGAAATGAAGTGTTTTTCAAATAATAATAGATTTTGGAAAAATGGAAGTACCATATTATTTATAAAAGTTTTAATAATAAATGAGTATTTTTTTTTTTTTTTTTGTTAACTAAGATGTTTGGATCCGTTTATGTACACCTCGGCTAATTCTTAAAAGAAACAACCTACCATCACAATCTATCGTGGGCAAAGGTATATCTCTACACTAGATAGAGAATAGTAAAAATGAGCATATTTATTGTAAGATATATTTATTAACAGTGAAAATAATATGATTTGACAATTAATTTTCGATAGTTTTTATTAGTCATAAATCTCATTTTAATTTATGTATTATACAGCTTTTATAATCTATTTATGAGTTTTATGGCAAACAACTATATTATTTTTTAATATCACTTATAATTGAATTAATTTTCTTGTCTAGAGATTGGAAAGTTTAGTAACATTTTGTCACCTCTTAATTATTATAGAAGTATTTATACCACCAGTACTCCTATGGTTTTCAAAATTTACAATCAGTGGCTATGTTATTCGAATTATCCAACTATTTCTTATATCGTTAAATTTTTTCGTTAAAATTAACTTTTTAATTGGTTTGGACTTATAAATTACCAAATTACCTCTAAAAATAAGTTACTTTAAAATTAAGAAAATATCTAAGGCTCCGTTTGGTTCACATTTTTACGTTTTTGGGAAAAAAAATTTTAAAAAGTTAAAAAAAGTTGAATTGGGCGGGTAGTACGATATAGTTACAAATTAATAAAATATCTCCTATGTTTATTTTTTACAAAACACCCCTAAATCAAACATTAAAAGTTAACAAAAACACACCCAACCCACCCATCAAATATGGACAGCTGGCCACCCACGAGGTGGTTGAGTCGTCGTATCGGCGCATGACCGGCTGGATCTTGCCAGTGTCGTCACCGATATGGCTAGGGCTGTGCAAATCCGATATCCGTCCGAATAGGACATTTTTTGATCCGATCCGAATTTTCGGATCAAGCTATTTGTTGATCCGAATTATGTGGATCCGGTTATCCGGATATCCGATTATTCGATCGGATGATCGGATATCCGAATTTTAAGATTTCCTTATTAAAATTTAAAACCAAATAATTCAATCCTTCAACACGATTGGGGCTTCAATCGGTTGTGTCTCTACTGTGCGTATTCGAGCGAGAGAGACAGATTGAGATTGAGTGAGATCTGGTGATTCACTAATTCTGGTCTGAGAGAGTGAAAGGCTTAAGGTTGTGCGTGTTTCAGGCTTTGAGCGAGAGAGACATGTGAGATTGAGACGACAGAGTACAGATGCGATCTGGTCTGAGAGAGTGAAACTGTGACTCTGTGAGAGACTAAGAGGTTGTGCCGTGTGCGACTGACGATGACGACTGTGAGAGACTGAGAGGCTTGGCGACTGACGAGTGACGATGACATTGTGAGAGACTGAGAGGCTGTGCGACTGACGATGACGACTGTGAGAGACTGAGAGGCTGTGCGATTGACGATGACGACTGTGCGTGAGCGAGAGTGCGAGACGGCGCGTTTCGTGTTCGAGTCGAGCGAGAGAGTACTGGGTGTTTAGTGTTTAGGGTTCGTGTTGTTCGAGTCTGAGACAGAGAGTCAGAGTAGTGAGAGTTGTATTTTTCGTTGGAGACGTCTGTTAGTGTCTTAGTGAGTAGTACTGAGTAGTGACTTAGTGTTAGTGTGTTACTGTGTTAGCACTGTTAGGGACTTAGGGTGAATTTAATTTTGAAAACTCAAAACGACGTAGTTTAGCAAAATTCGGATCGGATACGGATATCCGATTTTTTTATAATCCTGATCCGGTATCCGATCCGAATATTCGGATTTTGCTAAATTCTGATCCGTATCCGATCCGAATTTTCCGGAGCGGAGCGGATTAGGATCGGATATCGGATTTTTTTGCACAGCCCTAGATATGGCATTTTCTTGCCAGATCCACGGTGGATCTGGCCATTGAAAGCCAGATCTGGCCGTAGATCTTCATCAACGACGGCCAAAGATACGACCATCGTTGATGGTCAACAACGACCATATGTTGGCCTTTGTTGACGACTGGTTACGGCCAAAGATCTGGCCTTTTTCGGAATCTGGTATAATGTGGGTTTAGGGGTGTTTTTGTAATTTCCAAAAAAAATATTTAGGGGTATTTAATTAAATTAAAAAATTTAGGGGGTTTAAAAAAAGTTGAATAATATTTGATAATATTGTGAGTTTTTGGGCATTTTACTGTTTAACTTTATTGGGAATACTAAAAATAGTATTCCCAAACTTGAGCCAAACGAAGCCTAAAGTTTAAAAAAAAAAAACTATAAATTTAAGAAATTCTTTTAAATTGGCAGATTTTCAATTTTTTTTATTAAATCTTTTTTGAAATTTTTAGTAAATTTTCTTTTAGTTTTTTAGAAAAGTTATTTTTAAGGCCAATAATGTAATTTAGTGGTTAGAATTGGCCGAAAGTTAGTTTAACGGAAAAAAAAAAACGAAAGAGAAGGTAGTTGGATAATTCGGATAACAAAGGGACTAATTTGTCATTTGAAAACCGCAAGGGTATTCTATCGGTGATTGAAACAATTTTTAATGATCAAAAGAGCGATACTACAATCATAAATTATGTATAAAAAAATTTATTTAACTTGATGTTTTTCTCTTTTTGTCATATCATTCATCCATTTATTTTATATCACCGTCGGTTCATACACAAGAATTCATACTTATAATATCATTCTTATAAAATTAAAAACTAGGTCACCTCACATGGGCAATACTCCCCAATTATTACATCTTCTAGTCTATGTAGAAAATGAAAATTATTAATCATCAGCTACTAATTAGTAATTATAATTGTGGTTTCTTCTGTGGAGGAAACTTTGTGTATTCAATTAAAATGTGCATGGAAAGAGCCATAATGACCAGCCCAAATGCTAAAATCCCGATTCCTCTCCATGATGATAGCAAAGAATACTTCGCTAATAATATTAAACCTCCGGTGCTGAAGATTAAAGCCAAAATCATAACAGTCTGTCGTAAAAAAAAAAACCAAGAAACAAGAAAATTTTTGGATTAGAATTATGAAACCATCTTTCAAATAAATAAATATTTGTGTGTGTATCTTACGATAAGGGGTTTTAGTGATCGACGGGAAAATTCTTTGAATTCTTCATCTACCAATGTGCCTGTGGCATGAAATTTCTCCAGCATAGCATCCTGAAATAAAAATTCAACAAGTAAAAATAAATAAATAAATCTCAAGGTTTAGGGTTTTCTCATGATAAAAGAATTGGATAAAAAAATAATTATTAAATATGATATTAATCAAACTTTATTGAATGAATTAATTTCAACAAAATGAAGAGTAAATACAAATTAATAACTAAACTACCTTGGCTGAAAATCGATCTATACACCATTGTGCAATTTCCTCAGTTGATTCTGGCATTTGTTTCATCGAATATCGCTTTATATGAATAGTAATCTATAAATAATTTTTTTTTCAAAAAAAAATTAGCAATAAATGAAATCAATTAATCAAAATTAAAATAATAGATTAACGGTTAATTAATTAATCTTGTGGACTTACAGGAGTTGATTCCCTCTTCAAAATTCTAAACAATGAAGGAGTTGGATAACTTTTTGGTATAGCAATGGTAACATCATAAATTGCAGGAACAAATGAGCGTAAATTTTCAATTGCCGCAACAAAACCCTAGATTGTAAAAAAAAAAAAAATAAAAGAATTAATTAATTGTGATTAGTAAGTAAATTATTTAAAAAATAATAATAATATTTTTATATACAATATAACGGAACGATAATCTATTTGACATAAACACATTACTCAAGTTCAACATTTAGCCCATCAGGGCATTTTTAATTGTTTCCGAGGTTTGAAAACATATTTCACTCAAAATATGTTTTCTTATTGCAAAAAGAAACGTGATTCATTGATTAACCATGTTGAGAGAGAACAGTTAGACTTAGACTAAATAAAAGAAAATACTAATACTATTAATTTAGAAAAACCGACAAGAACCAAAAAATCAAAAGAATAAAAGTTAAAAAAAAAATGAGGTAAATAAACTTCTTATATTTACTTTATTATTTCATCATCTACATCTTATACGAAAATAATTAATTAATATCATAGTACTTAAATTATAAAAAAAGGTTAATAACAATAATCTCCCTCAAAACATAATTGAATTACATAAATTCTTCTATAGTTTGAAAAATAATAAAAAACTTCTTATCGCTAATTTTTTTGTACTAAAAAATTATGAAAATTTTTGTTATTTCTTAAATTTCATAAAGACATTATTATTTGATTAAAACTCACAGGCCTTATAAGAAGTTGAATAAAACTTAAATATACAATAATGCAAATTAATTTCACCTTTTTTCGAGGAATCAAGACATTTTTTGGAATATTTAATCCTTTAGAAAGAGCAAATTCTTGAGATTGTAATAGCTTATCTGGCGTCAATCGAGTTCCTTCAGTGAAAATAGTCAGCCAAAACGGTGTCGGAAAATCCTTTAATGCTTGAAAACTTTCCTGCAATTTTAAAGATATAATTAATTTAATTAATTAACCAGCCAAGATACTTAAATTAAATTTAATTAATTAATGCACAATACCTTCAATTTCTTTTCATCTTTGGCCCAACTTCTGTCTACGAAAACAAACTCAGAAAACCAAGTTGCCCACCCAAAAATCTGCATAATTAAAATATTAATTATTTCATATAAATTTATAAAAAAAAAAATAATAGATAATTTTTATTATTTATCATTTTTATAAAATATAACTCACCGGAAGATATTTTGACGATTTTTTTAACACCGTGAGTGCACTACGAAGGCAACCTGAGCGCTGTATAAAAATTTATTAACACTGAAATTATCAATTGGAGGACACTATTCTTAAACTTAATGGAAAACTCCAAAAGGGAAATAAATTAAGAAAATTAATTGTTATATAAATTATAAATTAAGAAAATTAATCTTTTTTTTTTGTAAAAAAGAAATTCATTTAAAATATGGAACTAAAATCATAATTAATTACCTGAGCTAAAATCCACATAAAGAAAGTATCAAGATCACTCAAGTGATTAGGCATTACTAGAGCATGCTCTTTACCTGGGAAATTATATAAAATAAATATTAGTCAAAATATTTATTTCTTAATTTTAATTAAGAAAATCATAATTAATAAAAATATATATGTGTATAGTTTTTCCCTTACCCATCAACAGATAAGTTTTCAAATCTGTATACAATTTAACCTGCAACCACAAATTAAAAACAATATAAATAGCCAAATACATATATATTGATGAAATACGATAATACTATAAATACTGACAGAAAGAAAGTTTAACTGAATTTTCATCTTTTAATATTTACTTATGCAATTAGTATTTTTTATGAATTGTATTTTCTTTACTAGGATTAAAAATATTTTTTATATAAAATTAATTCATGTTGAACTACATGTAATAAATTTACATATATTTAAAATCTTTTAAATATATTTTTTCCCCATAAATCTCTACTATATTGCAGCCAGTCGAGCAAGCCACCGCTCCCTCTACCCGCCGTCATCTAAATGTTCATCTAATAATATTATATATTATATATATTTCTCTCATTTGTACAAGCTGTGATACGATACATCAATCACACGTAAAATTCCGGTATTGCACAAATACGCAAAATAAATAATTCCATTTTTTAAATAATAATTAAAAAAAGAAAAAGAAAAAGAAAAAGAAAAAAAGAGATGAGATTGAAGAACCTCAAGGCCTGCCCACCACTCCAATATCCAAACAATTACCAACCATAAAATTTCAGAAATTGCTCCATTGATTCTTCTGTATGTATTCTTTGACAAAGGCCTAATTGTGAGAAACAAAGCTGCCTAAAATTATTAAAAAAAAAAAAAATTAATAAAAAATATATACATCAAACAGCTGAAAATGAGAAATTAAATTAAATTATTAATTTATTTTTTAAGCAGCAAAATAATTATAGTAACAAAAGAGAGAAAAAGATAATTACTTGAATAAGATTTATGATGAGGCCAGAAGCAACATACATGAAAGAAACAGGAACACTAATAGCTATGGCAGTGAGTTCCATTTTCTCAAAGTGTTATTGGGGGTGTTGTTGTATATTTATATATGTAAAAATATTGTATTTATTAATTAGAGATTGGTAGATATTTAATTAATACATCTCATAATTAAATTTTAAGCGGCTATTTAATTATGTTATGTAGGTTTCCATCTCTAACTTAGTTTGGTAGCATGAATTACAATGGAAAATTAGGGGAAAAAAAGTAGTAATGTCCTAACTTAAAAATGCAAAGTTATATAGTATCGACTTGATAATGTTATCTAAAACGAACGATGGAGCTAGAAAATTAATTGAGTGAGGGCAATTTTAAATAAAACTTAAAAACAAAAAAAAAAAATTTAGTAAGAATATATATTAGTTAATTTTATTTATTTTCTTTAATATATCGATATACATATTTTACAATTTTTTGAGTTATAAGAATTTCAATATGATTTTGTAATCGCTTTCTTATTTGATAAAAAAGTTTATGCGGTGTATTAGGATATCTAATAATTCATAAGATTAAAATAAAATGTTATAAGTTATTAATTTTCCATATCTCGGACTCAAACTATTTAACACAAATATATAAAATGAAAAAAATAAACATATAATAATTCATAGTATTTATTTTTGTTAATTAACATTTATTTACAACTTGGAAATACTATTTAAAATTAATAGATAGAGTACATTGGGGATTATTGAATTTATTTTTTTGCTTTTTTTGGCATAATGCATGCAATTTTCTCATTCTTTGTTAGGTGGGTTTGGTAAGATTAGCTCAAAACAGATGAGTCCTTTTGAAATTAAGCTATGCGTTTAATGCTTCTATGAAAAGCTATATTGAATAGGAGTCCTTCAACTTTTTTTTGCCTTGTACAAAAACTTTAAGAGGTCTTTTCCTTTCATTACTTTTATAAATTATCAAGTAGAAGCAACTAACAAGACTTAATTAAATTGATCTTAATTAAAGTTCTAGGTGATGGGATTAGCCCGCATCGGTATGTTCGTCCAATAAATTACATTTTATTACATATATATTTATTAAAAAAAAATCAACCACAATAAATGACAGTTATGTCAAAGTTTTTTTTAAATATTGGTAAGTTACCTATTTTGAACGAAAATATGGAAGCTCAACTTAGGTAATTCGGTCATGGGGTAATAAACATTATTCTTTGTAAAAGATGAACGTAATTTTATTGATACTCAAGATTTATAGAAAACATTAACATGTTCCTGATAAAATAAGTTTTTGATAATTTTTAGGAAATTTTAATAATCTTATGCTGAAGATTTATCTCACGGAGATGATACAAGTTTATTTTGATAAGGTAAATTTCAATTATTTGAATTTTATACAATGAATATATTATTAGAAGAAAACTCTCTATCCTATTACTTAGTAAAATGGATTTATAGTATGTTGTTCATTATAAGAAAATGATATATACATATACTCTTAATCATAATTTATTTCATTCTAACATTAGATTTATGTTATATATTCTAGCGAAGCTTTTAGGAAATTTAAAAAATTGACATCGACACCAAATCCATCTTTTCAATGTATGTTTTGACCTAAATACTCCTCGTTTGCATATAATGATTTCTTCTCGTCTTTTCTTTGTCACCATTTTTCTTCTTGACATATTTTATATTGTCGACAAATCTTTTTTTATCAAAACTATTACTAGAAAGAGAGTATAAAAACATATCGCTGAAAGGTATAAAAATTGTATTCAGACCTAGTTTATATGTATATATTTTATTTCGAAAATAACCTTATTTTGATTTCAAACTTAAATTTATAATGAAGTGATGTTATTTCACTATTGGTTTGTCAAAGAATCACATATATTGGTTGTGAAAAATGTGAAACTCATCCAGATAATAACGTGTTTAATTAACTAATTGATGAACATTTAGAGTTTAATATATATATATATATAATTTAACCATTCTAATGTTGATTTTAATAAGGTTTAATAGTTGTAAACCCTCTTAGACATCCTAAATATATAATAAACCCTTGAGATCAACCTCACAACCCTGACCACCTATTGCTAGGATTCCATTAACATGTCTAAGCAAACATGTTTAATCTCAATAGCGACAAGAATGGATTCTGGTAACAACTAGTAACGACAGGGATGAACTCCGATAACAATCATTAATGGCAGGGGGATCAGAGCTATTAGGTATATCTCAGAGGGTTCATAGAAATTAACCCTTTAACAAACTTTCAGAGACATTTCTAAGACCATAGGGAATTTTTGTGATATTTGTGAAAACGTGAGGGGAGCTCAGAGAGATAAACCCTAACCCAGCACACTGAACGAAATGCGGCCCATGGGCTACAGCCCACAAGTCGGCCCATTTTATAGACGACAGCGTTCCAAAGGGTCTAGGATTTAGTTTAATTAGGATTTCAGTCAAATTAGCAAATTGTTTAGGATTTCTGATTTCAGTTGAATTAGGTAAGGGTTTCAGTCTTTTATCAGTTTTCCTACTTCACTTAGAATTCCTATTTTAATAAAATATTAGCAATAATTTTTCAATTTAGACTTAGGATAAAACTAGTATAAATACATTTTCTTTAATTCAGAGGTTTTCTATAACCTAGTTATTTTCTATTGTTCCAACGAAGAAGAATGGCGACAGCGCAAGGAGGAGGATACCATCATCATCCAATGACGCTAGAAGAAGTACGGACTCTCTGGATTGGAGACTTACAGTACTGGGTCGACGAGAACTATCTCAACTCTTGCTTCGCTCACACCGGCGAGGTAGTAATAACTCCATGTTTTTGCTTCCAATTACCGACGGTTTTGAACTATTTATGGAATTCCATAATGGTTTATTTGTTTTCTTCTCGAACCTTATGGGGGTAAATTTTATTTACTGGTGATTGTATTTTATGTTAGGTTTAAGAAGGTTTTGAGATTGTGAGAAAAAATGTCAAAGAGTTTGGGTTGATTTTTAGTTCTTGAAGTAAAGTTTTCACTTTTATTGGTGGGTTTCTTTTCTTNTGCATGCAATTTTCTCATTCTTTGTTAGGTGGGTTTGGTAAGATTAGCTCAAAGCAGATGAGTCCCTTTGAAATTAAGCTATGTGTTTAATGCTTCTATGAAAAGCTATATTGAATAGGAGTCCTTCAACTTTTTTTTGCCTTATACAAAAACTTTAAGAGGTCTTTTCCTTTCATTACTTTTATAAATTATCAAGTAGAATTAACTAACAAGACTTAATTAAATTGATCTTAATTAAAGTTCTAGGTGATGGGATTAGCCCGCATCAGTATGTTCGTCCAATAAATTACATTTTATTACATATCTATTTATTAAAAAAAAACCGACCACAATAAATGACTGTTAGGTAGATTTGAATATATGTCAAAGTTTTTTTAAAATATTGGTAAGTTACCTATTTTGAACGAAAACATGGAAGCTCAACTTAGGTAATTCGGTCATGGGGTAATAAACATTATTCTCTGTAAAAAATAAACGTAATTTTATTAATACTCAAGATTTATAGAAAACATTAACACGTTACCGATAAAAGAAGTTTTTGATCATTTTTAGGAAATTTTAATAATTTTATGCTAAAGATTTATCTCATGGAGATGATACAAGTTTATTTTGATACGGTAAATTTCAATTATTGAATATTTTACAATGAATATATTAGTAGAAGAAAACTCTCTATCCTATTACTTAGTAAAATGGATTTATAGTATGTTGTTCATTATAAGAAAATGATATATACATATACTCTTAACCATAATTTATTTCATTCTAACATTAGGTTTATGTTATATATTCTAGCCAAGCTTTTAGGAAATTTAAAAAATTGACATCGACACCAAATCCATCTTTTCAATGTATGTTTTGACCTAAATACTCCTCATTTGTATATAATGATTTCTTCTCGTCTTTTCTTTGTCACCATTTTTCTTCTTGACATATTTTATATTGTCGACAAATCTTTTTTTATCAAAACTATTACTAGAAAGAGAGTATAAAAACATATCGCTGAAAGGTATAAAAATTGTATTCAGACCTAGTTTATATGTATATATTTTATTTCGAAAATAACCTTATTTTGATTTCAAACTTAAATTTATAATGAAGTGATGTTATTTCACAATTGGTTTGTCAAAGAATCACATATATTGGTTGTGAAAAATGTGAAACTCATCCAGATAATAACGTGTTTAATTAACTAATTGATGAACATTTAGAGTTTAATATATATATATATATAATTTAACCATTCTAATGTTGATTTTAATAAGGTTTAATAGTTGTAAACCCTCTTAGACATCCTAAATATATAATAAACCCTTGAGATCAACCTCACAACCCTGACCACCTATTGCTAGGATTCCATTAACATGTCTAAGCAAACATGTTTAATCTCAATAGCGACAAGAATGGATTCTAGTAACAACTAGTAACGACAGGGATGAACTTCGATAACAATCACTAATGGCAGGGGGATCAGAACTATTAGGTATATCTCAGAGGGTTTATAGTAATTAACCCTTTAACAAACTTTCAGAGACATTTCTAAGACCATAGGGAATTTTTGTGATATTTGTGAAAACGTGAGGGGAGCTCAGAGAGATAAACCCTAACCCAGCACACTGAACGAAATGCGGCCCATGGGCTACAGCCCACAAGTCGGCCCATTTTATAGACGACAGCGTTCCAAAGGGTCTAGGATTTAGTTTAATTAGGATTTCAGTCAAATTAGCAAATTGTTTAGGATTTCTGATTTCAGTTGAATTAGGTAAGGGTTTCAGTCTTTTATCAGTTTTCCTACTTTACTTAGAATTCCTATTTTTAATAAATATTAGCAATGATATAACTAGTATAAATATATTGTATCTTCTTTAATTCAGAGGTTTTCTATAACCTAGTTATTTTCTATTGTTCCAACGAAGAAGAATGGCGACAGCCAAGGAGGAGATACCATCATCATCCAATGACGCTAAAGAATACGGACTCTCTGGATTGGAGACTTACAGTACTGACGAGAACTATCTCAACTCTTGCTTCGCTCACACCGGCGAGGTAGTAATAACTCCATGTTTTTGCTTCCAATTACGACGGTTTTGAACTATTTATGGAATTCCATAATGGTTTATTTGTTTTCTTCTCGAACCTTAGGGGGTAAATTATTTACTGTGTTTGTATTTTATGTTAGGTTTAAGAAGGTTTTGAGATTGTGAAAAAAATGTCAAGAGTTTGGGTTGATTTTTAGTCTTGAGTAAAGTTTACTTTTATTGGTGGGTTTCTTTTTTTTCGAAATGGGTTGAGGCTGTTCTGTTGGAGGATTTTTTTTTTTTTTTTTTTTTTTTTTTGGGGGGGGGAAGATTGTGACTCAAAATTTATAGGATGACTGTTGGAAAGTTTTTCTTTCAATTAGTTTAAGTACCAAACTTTGCATTTTTTCAAATTATGGGTGTTATTTAGAGTATTATGTATGTTTCCTTTTCTTTTGTCATGAATTCATAGTTTCCGTTAATGCTAGCGCCAAATGAGATTATGTTATATTTTTATTTCACTCGCATTGAGTACCACTTGAGTGTGTTGGGGGAGAAAGAATGATTTATGAATTAAAATTTTAAACATTGGTTGTAATGGTTTTTGCCGGAAGTCCGTTGCGTAAGTTACTGTTGTGAAATGTGGATTTTTTGACAGTTAAGTTTTTAATTCTTGCGATAGTTCTAGTTCTTTTGTTTTACACTGAAAGTGTTAACAAGTTTGATGCTTATGCTTTCTGCAGGTTGTTTCAATAAAGATTATACGTAATAAGATTACTGGTCAGCCAGAGGGTTATGGATTTGTGGAGTTTGTTTCTCATGCAGCTGCGGAGAGGATTCTGCAAACTTATAATGGGACACCAATGCCTGGGACTGAACAAACTTTCCGGTTGAATTGGGCTTCTTTTGGAATTGGTGAAAAACGTCCTGATGCCGGGCCTGAGCATTCAATTTTTGTAGGGGATTTAGCACCTGATGTTACAGATTATTTGCTACAAGAGACCTTTCGAGCTCAATATCAATCTGTTAGAGGTGCCAAGGTAGTGACAGATCCAAATACTGGACGCTCAAAGGGATATGGGTTTGTCAAATTTTTGGATGAGAATGAAAGAAATCGTGCAATGACTGAAATGAATGGTGTCTTTTGCTCAACTAGACCGATGCGTATTAGTGCAGCAACGCCTAAAAAGACGACTGGTTTTCAACAACAATATGCTGCAACAAAAGGTCATATTCATTTCATTATTTTAGGTTGAGCATACTCAAATTAGCCACTCATATATTTTTACCTATGGATTTCCTCTGCAGCCATATATCCTGTCCCAGCGTACACTACCCCAGTGCAGGTGCTTCCTGCAGATAATGATATCAATAATACAACAGTAAGTCACACATACTAAAGAAGTAAACCTGTTAGTGCAACGTAATCTTCATAAATTATATCATTTTCTCACTATCTCTTTCTATTGCAGATTTTTGTTGGTAACTTGGATCCAAATGCTACTGAAGAAGAACTGAGGCAAACATTCTTACACTTTGGGGAGATTGTCAACGTCAAGATTCCCGTGGGCAGAGGATGTGGTTTTGTACAGTTTGCAGCTAGGTTTGTTCAGCATGTGCATTGATTATAATGATAATAATCTAAAATGACAAGTGAAATTGTTTCCAAACTTTTGTACATTATTAATTTATCTGTACATTATTAATTTATCTGTTTTATTCTTTTGGTGGTTTCGGGAGGAGGGGCGATTGTTTGATTTTTTGTTAATTCAACTCCCCTTTGCTATGCTTATCTTTTCTCTCCAACAAGAGTTGCATTAACATAAACGCTGGAAAGAGGCAGAAGAGATTTTTGTGGAACTCGTATAATAAACCTTAGTCTAATTTTTTGGTTGCCAACATCTTTTGGTAGTCCTATAGACTCTGACATTTCTAATCTCTTATATCTATATAGGACATCTGCTGAAGAAGCCATCCTAAGAGTACAAGGACATGTGATTGGTCAACAGCAAATCCGCGTTTCTTGGGGCAGGAAACAGGTGATGTTTAAAGAGGATTTTATGTCCATCAAATGCTCAGTCTTTCCCAGCTTTTTTAGAATTTTTATCATATGCATGCCGCATATTGTCATAATTATATCGAAGCTAGTAAAACGTAATAGACTATATAATTATTCGTATATTCTCTTAGCAGTAGAAGGAATTGAGGGCAAGTTGAAGAATTTAACTGGAAATCATTTAGATAATGCATTTAGATGATCTGCAATTCTCACTTGCATTTTAGGATATGCATGGCTGATAGATGATAAACATGGGATCTTTGGTTAGCTATCTTATGTAGTTACATTTACTTTAGGCAAATATCATACAACTTGTGTTGTATCGATTTCCTGTCTTGACAATTTTGGTATTTATTTATTATAGGACGTAACTGGTAGCTTGGGAGCACAAGTAGATCAGAGTCAATGGAGTGCGTACTATGGTTATGGACAAGGCTATGATGCCTATGCATACGGGGCCACACAAGATCCATCTTTATACGCATATGGTGCATATGCTGGCTACCCACAGTATGCTCAACAGGTAAGTTATTATGATACAGTCTGCTAATCACGGGCTTCTGTTTCTTCAGAATTTTGATATAGTCCTTTTTTTTCTTTATTCGCTTTAATTGGGAAGTGGCAAATACCCAACCCACTAGTGTTCTTTTCTTTGAGGTTTGTTGTTTGAGGGCTGCTTTTGTGATTGGTTTTCGAGCCTCTAGTTGTTCTTCTTGTACCTAGATTCTTATGTAGGTTACAAACTTTCTCTTTTACCCCATTGTGGACAACTAGTTCACTTAAATGTACTACTAAAAACAAAGAAGTATTGCATGTTCTTGGGTTACCTCTAATCACTTTTTTGCTTTGCTATTTATTTATTCTGAATTTAATATGAATGCATGAATGGCATATGGTATTTGGCAGGTTGAAGGTGTTACAGATATGGCAGCTATGGCTGGTGCTGTTCCGGTTGTCGTCGACCCAAAAGAGGAGTTATATGATCCCTTGTCCTTGGCTCCACCCGATGTTGATAGGTACACTTTTCTCCTCTGCTTTCAGGATGCAGATTCTGTTTTTGGTTTAGTACTTAAATCTTTGACTTTGATTTCTAGGTTAAATGCTGCTTACCTTTCGATTCATGGAAGTGCCATATTAGGCCGGCCCATGTGGCGGAAAACTTCTTCACTTACACCACAAGCTTAGATTCATATTGCGGTGTCTTCTGCACTTTTGCTTTAGAACTCTCGGAGGATTGACCTTCTTTTGGTCTCACTGTACGATTGTCGATAATGAAGACTAGAGCATTTAATTAGAATTAAAATTAATAAATAGAGTAGAGTGGGGATTATTAAATTTATTATTTGCTTTTCTTGTAATTTTCTCATTCTTTGTTAGTTGGGTTTGGTGAGATAAGTACTTTTGAAATTAAGCTATGTGTTTTATGCTTCTATAAAAAGCTATATTGGTAAGTTGCCTATTTTGAATGAAAACATGGAAGCTAAACTCAGGTAATTCGGTCATGGGTTTATAAACATTATTCTCTGTAAAAGATGAACGTAATTTTATTGATACTTACAATTTATAGAAAACATCAACACGTTCATGATAAAAGAAGTTTTTATGCTAAAAGTTTATCTCGCGGAGATGATACAAATTTATTTTGATAAGGTAAATTTCAATTATTCGAAGATTTTATAATGAATATATAATGTGGAAACGGTAACATTTGCCAAGAAAAAAAATACCCGTTTGTTCATCTAGGCAAGGTATTATGTTATTTATTATAAGAAAACTCTCTGACTCTGTCCTACTTATTAGTAAAATGGATTTTTAGTGTATATTGTTCATTATATATATAGTCATAATGATGTGATTAAACTAATTTATTATTAAAGATGTTATAACTTAATAGAGGTATGTATGGTTACAGAAATTACTGTTTTGATTTCTTATATTATAGTTCACGTTTTAGTAGTATGCAATGTTTCGAAAACCGGATTGGACTATGACCTGTTCAAGGGTTCAGTTTTCGGTTTGACTGGTTGGATTGGTCGGTTGGACCGTATCCTGTAAAATTATTTTAGTCTCTAAATGTTTGAAATTCATAAAAAAACACCCCATAATACTCCCTTAAGGTTTGAAATCTGTCTAAAACACCCCTGTCGCGTGAAGAGATTGGCGAGTGGTGGCGGCAGTGACAATCGACGGCCAATCGAAGTTTGGAATCATGGGGCTTTTGATGTATAGGTTCCGACGAATCTGATGGTAAGGGAGTTCTATCGACATCGGAAATTGCCAGAATCAAGAAGGAAGTCCGACGGCGAGCGTGAACTTTAGGTGGACGGCGAGTGATGACGGCCACTGAAAATGGATGGGTTTTGTCGTGGAGATGCTGTCAAGTCGAATGGTGGTGTTTTCTCCGTCGAACGATGCCGGAATCCAACGGGATTGAGTTGTGATTGGACTGCTACTCAGCACTATTCTGGCGGTACAACCGTGGCTCAATCCGGTTTAATTGAAAATACCGGTTTTTAGAAGATGCTGGATTAGAGATACCGCTGGCTCCCGGTCGAACCGGTCCGACCAGACGGTCCGATTCTGTTTTCAGAACACTAGTAGTATGTACTAGGATTTCAATGTATCGTTTTAATAGTCATTACTGCAATTAAACAAGAAGATAAATGAAACAATCCTCGTGATAATAGTACAAAAATACAAAAAGTTTCTTCCTAAGAAACTCTAAACATGTTTGAGAAGCTAAAAATATTTTAGCTTCAACAAGAAGGTGTCCCAGGCGTTTATCCCCAAGGGGTTTCCCTTCCTTTTTTTTCTTTTCTTATGCTAGTGAGTTATTATGTACCTACAAGTTAAAAGATATTGGTAATAACTGTAGAATATAAATCATTGTCCAAAACAATTGTAAATAAATACTTTATTTTATCTTAAACCTTTAATGTAACATAACATATTTTTTTTTGCAATATACAACTAATCATTTCTATGTGGAGGCAACTTTCTTAAGACAGAAATTAGAAAAATGATAATTTATTACAATATAAAGTTTATTCTTATTTATAACTATCACAAGTTGGGACTTGAAATTTTTATGACTATATAGAGATTATTATTACATAGAGGGTCTAAGTAAGAAAATCACTATCTCTTTATCATCGGCACCAAATCTATCTTGTCGATGTATGTTTTGACCTAAATACTACTTGTTTGTATATAATGATTTCTTCTCATATTTTCTCTATCACCATTCTTCTTCTCGACATATCCTATATTGTCGACCAATCTCTTCTATCAAAACTATTACTAGAAAGAGAATACAAAGACATATACATGAAAGGTATAAAAAATTGTATTTAGATGTAGTTTATATGTATGTATTTTATTTCGATTGTGAAAAATGTGAAACTCATCTAAATAATCTAATTGTTTAATTAACTAAATCAAATATAACAAAAAGCTAGGTGTGAGCGGTTTCGAGTACCCTACATTTTTTAGGGGAATCAGAATCGGAACCGGAACCTTATAGTGCAGGTTCCCAAAAAAAGAAACCAGAACTAGAACCGCACAGTGTAGGTTCTTAAATTCAAGGAATCAAAACTTAAAATACAGGTTTCGGTTCCTTTCCCGAGTACCCTATAAAAATCAATTACCCCCTTATTAGTTTAAAAAATGACAAAAATACCTTAAAAGTTTACAAATACACCCAAAACAAATTTTGATTACTCATTCGTGTCCAATGTGACTCATAAATCCTCTAATCTCTAGGCAACACTTGAATTCAATCAATTCATCACAATTCACATAAAATTCCTCAATCAAAATCAAAACACAAACAATTAATTAAATTAATTAAAGAATTATACTATAAATCTATAATTTAATATTACAATTAATTAAATTTCTAATCATTTAATTAAGTATTGTACTAATGTTTATAATAGAATATTATAATTAATTAAGTAATTATACTATAAATCTATAATGTAATGTTATAATTAATTAAATTTTTAATCCTTTAATTAAGTAATATACTAATGTAATAAATTACTAATGTTTATAATGTAATGTTATAAATTTATAACTAATTAAGTCATCATTTAATTATACAATGTTATAATTAATTAAGTGATTATAATATAATATAATGTTATTATTAATTAAGTAATTATTTAATTAATTAAATTTCTAATAATTTAATTAAGTATTGTACTAATATTTATAATAGAATGTTATAATTAATTAAGTAATCATACTATAAATTTACAATGTAATGCTATAATTAATTAAATTTTTAATCATTTAATTTGGTATTGTTACTGATGTTTATAATATAATGTCATAATTAATTAAGTAATCATTTCATTATGTAATGTTATAATTAATTATGTGATCATACGATAATGTAATGTTATAATAAATTAAGTAATCATACTATAAATCTTTAATATATTATTATAATTAATTAAATTTCTAATAATTTAATTAAGTATTGTACTAATGTTTATAATAGAATGTTATAATTAATTAAGTAATCATTTGTTTATAACATAATGTTATAATTAATTAAGTAATCATATTATAAATTTATAATGTAATGTTATAATTAATTAAATTTTTTAATCATTTAATTAAATATTGTGCTAATGTAGTAAATTACTAATGTTATAATATAATGTCATAATTAATTAAGTAGTCATTTAATTATGTAATTTTATAATTAATTATGTGATCATATAATTTATAATGAATTAAGTAATCATACTATAAATCTTTAATGTAATATTATAATTAATTAAAATTTTAATTATTTAATTAAGTATTGTACTAATGTTTATAATGAAATGTTATAATTAATTAAGTAATCATTTATTTATAATGTAATGTTATAATTAATTAAGTAATTATACTATAAATCTATAATGTAATGTTATAATTAATTAAATTTATAATTATTTAATTAAGTAATATACTAAATTACTAATGCAATGTTATAAACTTATAATTAATTAAGTAATTATTTGACTATAATGTAATATTATAATTAATTAAGTAATCATTACCTAGTTAGTAATGTATTAATGTTTATCAATTTATTTTATATAATTAATTAATAACTAATTTACTACAGATATACTTAAAACTTGATAATTGAAGTAAATAACTAAATATTATATTATGATTCAATCAAATATACTATTTTATTCGAAAATAATTCTTTTATTAACATTCAAACACTTTTAATTGGTCATAATTCTAATTATACACTTAATTAATCAAAACTTTAATATTAATATATTAAAGTTTTTTATGTGGTGTAATTTATATGTAATAAGTATGATTGTATATTTATTTAATTAGGTTATTGTAAAAATTTAATTTTTTCCATTTTAATTTTTTTATATGTAAAATTACATAGACCCTCCATTCTTCACAGATATTTCATTTCAGCCCAGGTTCCAAAACAGGGTACAAGCTGTAGGTTATTTTTTCTAGGTTCCGGTTCCAGTTCTGGTTCCTCCACATGTAAGAACCGGAACTATAATCGCACAGTGTTGGTTCCAAAAAAATGGAACCGGAACCTACCCGCACAGTGTCAGTTTCGTGTAAGTTCTGGTTCTGATTCTAGTTCTACCTGTAGGTTTCGGTTCACCCCGTTACCCGTGCTCACCCCTACTTTTGTGATTGGTTTTCAAGTCTTTTTCTTATACCTAGATTCTTATGTAGGTTACAAACTTTCTTTATTCACTTTAATTGGGAAGTGGCAAATACCCAACCCACTAGTGTTCTTTTCTTTGAGGTTTGTTGTTTGAGGGCTGCTTTTGTGATTGGTTTTCAAGTCTTCTTATACCTAGATTCTTATGTAGGTTACAAACTCTCTCTTTTATCCCATTGTAGACAACTAGTTCACTTACATGTACTACTTTTTTTCTTTTTAATCTCTTTTGTTAATAATAGACTTTATATCCTGTTAAAAAAGTACTGCCTGTTCTAGAACATTATTTATGTATACTTTCTTTATCTCCTTTGTTAATAATATATTCAGTTTCCTATAATAAAAACAAAGAAGTACTGCATGTTCTTGGGTTTGCTTTGATATTTATTTATTCTGAATTTCATATAAATACTTGAATGGCATATGGTATTTGGCAGGTTGAAGGTGTTACAGATATGGCAGCTATGGCTGGTGCTGTTCCCTGTGTCGACCCAAAAGAGGAGTTATATGATCCCTTGTCCTTGGCTCCACCTGATGTTGACAAGTACTGTTTTTTCCTCTGCTTTCATGATGCAGATTCTGTTTTTGGTTTAGTACTTAAATCTTTGACTTTGATTTCTAGGTTAAATGCCGCTTACCTTTCGATTCATGGAAGTGCCATATTAGGC